GTCATTAACTCGAGAATACCATGAATTGGGTGATGCTGCACCAGAAGACATGATTGAGCACGTAGTCATTTGGCACCGTGACATTGTTGCCGCAAAGAATATTTTATTCAAAGGTATGTGCATAATTGTATATTGTATTAATATTAAATTGAGAATAGAGAGCAGAGCGTTAGGTGTTCAGTGTTCATATTAATTGATTAATGTTTTGTGTTTATTTCTGATTTTATAGGAATGTGTCGTCTTTTTGGCATACCATTGCCCGATTCGTTGAAGAGACCTGACAATCCACACCATGCGAACAATGTCAACTGATAGACAGCATAAAATCAACAATAATCATAAGAAGAATATTTTAACAATTTTGTTAGTTACTAGGCGTGAATAGTTTAAATCCAAGGATTTCTATTGTACCCTTGACCGCAGTACGGGTCCCTATTTAGGGCTGTGCGGAATATAAAAGAACCCGTAGGTGAGTACTTTATTGAATTGATAGTTTATTTTTGCATTCAATCTAACTGAATTGTTTTTTTTTTTTCTTTTTTTCCTTTCCATTTTGACGGTAAAATTGACTGAAACTACACACAAATCCAACCCCAATATTGACCGTCAACATATGCCCGATAATGGATGAATTTGCCACAACAAATGTTTGTTGGGTAGTATGGCACACACGAACGACACCAATTAAAATGCCGTTGTTTAACATATATTAACAGTTAAAAAGCCATTTTTATTCAGCAAACAAACTCAAACAAATTAGCGAGTTACGAGGGTTGCTCCATAATTTTTTTTAAAAACATATATAACACAGTTGTTTTTTGTCGAAAATGGTTTTATTGTTTTTCAAAATATTCCCCGAGATGATCGATACACTTTTGCATTCGATGAAACCATTTGTCATAGCATTCGTGCCACTCCGAAACTGATATCTCCAAAACGTGTGTTTTGAACGCTTCAACTGCTTCTTCTGGTGTCGAAAATCGTTGACCACGTAGTTTTTTCTTCACGCTTGGGAACAAAAAAAAGTCATTGGGTGCCAGGTCAGGACTGTACGGTGGATGACCCATCAGTTCGATGTTTTGACCGGTCAAAAATCGAGTAGTTTGAAAAGATGTGTGAGAGCTCGCATTATCGTGATGAAGAATTATTTTGCGACGGTGGTTGTTTTTTCTTATTTCACCAAACACTTCGGGCAAACAAATGGTGGTATACCAATCAGAATTGACGGTCTTACGATCCTCTAGTGGAACGGTTGCCACATGACCACTTCTCCCGAAAAAACAGGCGACCATTCGCTTCGAAGTGCTTCTTGCTCGAACAACTTTCGTTGGGTTATCTTCATTTTGGAAGACCCATACAGTCGACTGCTGTTTCGTTTCGGGCTCATAGGCATATATCCACGATTCGTCACCAGTGACGATTTTATTAACGTCTTTTGAAGCACCACGATTGAATTTCTTGAGCATTTCTTTACACCAACTCACACGAGCCATTTTTTGTTCATCGGTCAATTTATGTGGGATCCAACGAGAGCAAATCTTTTTTACGGCTAAATGTTCATGCAAAATTGTATGTATGCTGTGGGATGAAATGCCCAAAGATGCCTCAATCTCACGGTAGGTCACATGACGATCTTCCATAATCAGTTTTCTGACAGCATCGATGTTTTGTGGCACAACAGCCGATTTTGGACGACCTGTATGAAACTCGTCTTTGAGCGAACTACGACCGCAACGGAATTCTCGGTACCAGTTATAAATTGTCTGAAGGGTTGGTGCTTCATTGCCAAAGGCCAAATGAAGTCGATCGAAACACTGTTGTTGAGATAATTTACTTCGAAAATCGTAGTAAATCATTTTACGAAAATCTTCACGTGTAAAATTCATTTTTTTGTTGAGTCGCAGTTTACCAGTCACTGTAAACAATACAAATAGCGTTCGTACGACAAAAGGTTCAGGGCACGAATACATACCAAAACATCAAACTTTACGAATATGACAATGGTTTACATCGGGCAACACTATAAGTACCATTTTAAAAAAAATTATGGAGCAACCTACGTATTATAAAATGTGTTGAACTCTTTTCTTTGTATCCATGAACATTTAACGACAATTGTTACAATACAAGCATTGCAACTACTGATAGTTGTCAAAAATGTTGTAATCAATAGCACCTGGAAATAAAGTTGGATTAAAAGTTCAAATTACAAATTTATCCGCGGGCAATTTGCCATTCGTTTTATTTCCTTATATTAATTATTAATATGAGTCACACATCGAGCGTGTAGCGCACACCTAAAGGTACGCTTTCTGTCGATTTAATTATATCACGTACAAAGAATATAAATTAGAATTGATATACGTACTTCACATAAGAAAAAAGAAACGCCAATTATTTATAAACGGCAATCGGTGACCATGAATAATATTTTAATACACATTAGATTGGCTTGGGCATTTTAAGTTTTTTGTCACTTTATTGAAAATGGGTATTTCTCTCTCTCTCTCTCTATTGCTCTCTTTCGTCTTTCAAAGCATACACCAATGAAGTGAAGCTTTTCCACATATTTCAACTGCGACCATGTCGCGTGGAGGCGTTTTTTTAAACATAAAAATTCATCGAATTCATACACGGTGTGCAGCGTTTGTGAATGTGTATCATTCTGCAAAAATGAAATAATTGAGAAAAATTACCAATCGATATGTTTTTTTTTTTTCGTGGTTGTTGTTACCAATTTGTGATTCGACAAGTATTGAAGTCACTTGAGAATTTTCGAATTGGAAAAGGGAACAAATCGGCGCACACCGTTTTTTGTTTCACAAAGTTAAAGTTCACATTATTACTTTTCCGCACACCTAGTGTAGGGAAGGTATTGTATTAGGCCAAAAAATTAAAGTCATCCCAAAACATGTTTTCTATGCATATTTAATGTAGAAAACACGATTGGAGATGATTTTGGGGCATATTAATGTGCGTCGCTGTGTGTGATGTGTCCTGTGTCCTGTGACCTGTGACCTGTGACCTGTGTCCTGTGTCCTGTGGCGTGTTGCCAAAATTTGTTAACACGATAAATCCTTTTCCAAAAACTCAATTCAAATTCTGACTTTGCAGGATGATTTGGGACTACTAGGAGACGTGCTGATTAGTTTTTGAGCAATATCTGTTGACCGGTGTAATTTTTTTTGGTCCGAATGGAGTACCCACAATCCCACATCCATACATTTTTGATCATTTCTCAACCATTTTGGTGACACGATGGTTTCGTGCTCAGACATGAAATTCAAAATGTGACTTCACGGGATGATTGGGCACTACGAGGAATAAATCTGGTCAAATTTTCAACGACATTGATTGATCGGTGTAAAACTTAGACTCTGAAGAGGCACTTATGAGAAAAATGCCTTAAAATGATATTCTTTCAATTTGAACGCTGAATGAATGTATAGTGGGGGGGGATAAACCCGAATCTGATGTTAGTTTTAAGATGCAATTTTTCACACACTTTTCATACAAAAATCCACAAAAAGTTTCATTTTTGTGGTACCGTAATGATCTGAAACTTTGAACAGGCTATTTTTTGGATTGAAATTTCTTTAAACTTGGTGTGATTATTTATTTTGATAAGAAAATAATATTTACAAGTTTTCACGGTAATTTAAGTTACTGCAACCATACAAAGACCATGATTTCAGTTTATTCCCAAAATTTCGGTTCCATGCGGAAAAGTCAGCTTGCGTACGTAAGCCTCTTTATTTTTATGCTCTTTTTGTCTGCGCAATCGCACACGAATGACACATAAATATGTTGCCAAATCGAAGAAATCGAAATATCAAAGTTGCATTCACTTTGAATGTTTCTTTGGCAAATATATGTTTACTACCAATCGAATTTACCCGAATTCAATTTCTTTAAATCTTAAATTTCGTGCCTTCTAGCATTTCATACCGAGCCCAATACTTTTTATCCATGGCTCGATTGACTTTAAGACCAAATATTTTTTACACAATTTGAGTTAAAAGGAAATATGTATTATTTATAGTTGCTTTAGTTGGCATTAAGCCATTGTAAAATAGGTTCTAGCCAGAGTCTATAGTTTTATAAAAAAAAGTATCAATTGAAGTTGAAACAACACGATCATTTTCAATGTAATGGTACCATATGGACCGAATTGTGGCCAAAGTAGATGTGAGATTGAATTGTATGTGCTCTATAAATTATACAACCGACTGGTAGTGATAGTGACCTTATACTGCTGTTTACGTAATTTCACCACGTACAATGGTACATATTACTTTAACTCTAGAATATCTAAGCTTATTTCGTTCAATCGTATCAATTTTGTCTTTATGTTTTTTCTCATCGGTTTTGATGGACCTCGTGATTGATTTATGCCATTTATACTATGTTTGGCAAAAGATTTTCGAATAAAAACCGTTAATGCTGCCAAATGTCGCCAGTCAATTAAATTCTAAGCCAATCAGGTATCTTTACAATTTAATTTTAAATTGTGTAAATACGAAACATTGTCTTTTTCTTTGTTTTAACACATTCATTTCAAGTATCCAATTTATTGAGATTGACTTGAAATGATTTGTGTCTTATAACACGCATCAAAATGTCATTTAGTTCCAAATGAGTTTTCAGTTAAGGAAAATGAATCTCGTCACCGATTATTTCGACGGGGCCCAAACAATGAGATGTATTTTTAAAATTCGTCCCATTGATTGCGATTGAAAACGATTTACTGCACGCGATGCTTCCAAAGCAAACAAAATCGAAAATATAAAATATACAAGTTCGCGAAACACGATACAGCAGCTACAGCAACATTAATAGCAAGCGTAAATATAGATAAACACGATACACGTTGAAACACCTTTGTGTTTTCCTCTCCTCCTTTTTTTCGTCTCCTCTCTTAGCGAATATTAGTTTTTTTGTATTTCGCTTCATTCACATTCGTTGTGTGATACATTGCAATGGGCATAAAGTGTTGTGTCTGCGCGCGGTGAGCACGTTCGTTGAAAGTGAATAACCGAGTCAGATCAATTCTGAACGGCGAACGGTAAACACGTTGTGTGTTGCACGATCATCGGCGTAGTCGATAAACAGCTGTTTTATTTCGTTCGAAAAACTGCACCCCAAGTGGAATTGTAATTTACACTTGTGCTACGCGTTTGTTTTGAGACCAACCAAAATAATAATATTATGTGCATTTTGTATTTCACATACAAGTACAGTGGAAAATTGTTGTATTTTACTGTTGCATTCGAAACGAAGTAATCTTGTTAATTGATAACAGCCGACGAACTGAAGTCGCCGAACAAGATTCGGATGAATGATTTCCGTTTAACCTGTTACTGGAAATTAAACAACGATTAAACGAATAGAGCGAAGAAAAAAACACGCCAGAGACATTAATTATTGCTTTAAAAGTGCCATTCGTGAACGAACTGTTGATTTTTTTTTAATCTTAATTTTCGCCTAAAAAAGAAGGTTTTCGCAGTTTCGTCACAAAATTTAACGGTATCGAAATTGTGAACGCGCTGCATCTTGTTTTTATGTTCAGTGTATCGTGTAACAATAAATCACTTTTAAAATACAAAAAACGCGGCAAATATTTTCAACCAGACAAAAAGCAAAACACAAGCTAAAAGATAGAAAGAGAAAGACACACAGAGTAAAAAGATCGGAAATATTCATCGTTAATAATTTTTCTTGGCTTGATATTTGTTTTTATTAATGTCAGTAGCATGAAGTTAACAGTGAAACTTGTGTTGTTGGTCACCTTGTTCTGTTTCGGCGTGCATGGAATACCGACCGAACCATCGAAATTTGCTAGCAAAAAAAGCGGTAAGTGCAACTTCACAATTCATCATACAATTGCGTACAAATCATCATTGGCTGTTCAGGCGAAGTGTGGCTTTTTGGTTTCGCTCTCTCGATTGTCGTGTGACGATTGTCAACAATATTTCGCGGTAGTGCTGTTGAGTGGCTGAGAAACTACATCAATTAGTGTAATAGCTGCACAAAATGTAAAAAACAAACCGGCAACGAACCGTTTCAAATCTAATCAATGTCAACTGGTCGACAATTCAAAAGTAATTTGCAACAAGTTGACAAACCGAAAAACCAAAACAAGCTTTCATTATGTCAATTTGTGTATCGTTTGTTGGCAAGAAATGACTTTTGCTGACACACCGAATGCCGTTCACTGGCCAAATCATTCAAATACAATCGCGACTGCATAAAACTATTCATAACAGTTTTTAAATGTGCACGCGGCTGATTGAAATAAAAATTCAAAAATTCTGTCAACATAAAAATTTAATGTGTCAATTTGGCCGAAAAGCTCAAGACACACGAGAGAATAAGTGCTTGCCACATGTATCATGAATCATGTACCAATGAATTGTCATTTTTATCGTCTCGAAAAAATCTAAGTCACCCATAAGTGTATTGTGCCATAATGAAAATGGTTTTGAAAGTGGAAGGAAATCTGAAAAATCATTACTATTCTAAGCAGCATTTTGGTCTTTGACGAATTACAACAATTGATCGATCGCGTAATGTAAATATTGAGCGAAAAGTGTGTGTGTGCGCTTGTGTGTGGCGTAAATATCAATTGTTTGCTATAAAAGCTAGATATTTCTTCATACGCATTTTTTTGTTTTCATTCCACGCTTCAATTGGCTTCTAAACTTAATGCCAGAAAACATAATCAATACCAACCAATACCAGACTGTTTGAACGTTTTTTCGATATTTTAACGAAATACGATTTTGTTTAACATTTCCACCGTAATTCTTCGAACTTTATATTACCAATTCGAACCGCCATGGTTTTGAAATTGTTAAATTGCTGTACATTCATTTCAAAATTATGTACTATTACATATTTGAAACAACGAAATTATCAATGGTAAAGGTGAATCAAGCAAAAAAAATCGCTTTTCGTAGGGAGTTTTACCACAATTTCATATGATTTTCTGTTTGATAAACAATTAATACGATTTAATTTTGGAATTAGCAGCCATTGGTTTGGGCGATTATTATAGAGGAAAAATATTTTCATGATTTACGGGTTTTTCTTTTGCTTTGGTATCACAATTGGAGTCCAATTTTCAAAGTTGCAATTACTTAAGTGCACAAATTCCATTTACTTCAATTGTTTGAAGGAAAAAAAACCTACACAGAGCTTGAAAATTGAAGATCCATTCTCTTGAACTTTTGTTCAAATGGAGCGGGAGTATACTCTACAAGCATCAAGCACTATTTGTACTCTTTACCTTTGTGGGAAGTAAAACAATACTGTCTTTCGATGTTGAAATATGAAAAATGTTATCGGATGAATATCAAAATGCTACAAAATCGTGGCTAATTAATTTTTATTGTCGATGCCACAGAATCGATACACTCATTCACAGTGCGGCTCGATGTTGATCGAATTTTTTCTCTGGCATTGCGATCAATATGCTTGTTTGGCATAAATGCACTCTTGCAATATACATTTATTGTATAGGTAATTTAAATGCAGACCTTTAAACAAAACCCCAATAAAGTATATATGGATGTGCGCGCTATTCGATAGATAAACTCTTTTGGTTTTGCTTTATCACATTCATTTTGCAACATTCAATAAATGTATGACTTTAATTGAATGTTGTGTAGGAAATTGAGGTGTTATTTTCAAGAATAGTGTCGCGAAATTATTTTAAATACAAATAAAAAAATTGTTTACTGATTACAAACCACGAAGTGTGAACTTTGTTTTTCGTGGGTACAAAATTATCGTTTGTTGCCCCGACATATTCTCGTGCCATTAAATGTACACAATGACAAAACATTCGTTCTTCTAATTTGTTATTTTTGCTCGAATCAACTTTGAAGTCACGAAGCAATGTCAATATCCGAATTCCGCCAGCAAAAGAATTGGATAAACTCACCGAGAATCCATTAGATTTGTGATTTGTCTTTATTAAATTCCAGAGGAAGTGTAATTTACCTTCAAAGCCAACGGCATTAAGAAAAATGGGCGAACTAATCATAGAGCGCATACACCGAAAAACGCACTCACATCGAAAAATACCTCTTAGCCATGCTGAAAACAACACGCTTCAGTTTTTTTCTTCTGGTTAAGGTGAAGACTCATTATATCGTTATGAATCAACGTTTGGTGGAAGGTTCTCTGTGACGTGCAACGTTTTTTTTTTACTTTGAACGCTCTATACACAAGCTACTAATTAATATTTCCACCATTGAAAATGATGAAATCTCACGCAAATCGGAAAACATCATCTAATGCCAGTCGAAACATACAAATTGAAAAGTATTTATCGAAAGAATAGATCGTCCGAACGAAATCATTGTGTGTAAATATGTGATTACCTTCAACCAGATTCTAAGGCTATAAATTGAAATAACAAAACGATAATTCAAAATAAGATGTTCGTCTTTTTATGTGAACATTTGAAGAGATCTTGTTTGTGTATACACCGATATATACAAAAAATAACGTACACATCGTGCTGACCCACATATGGCGATAGCGCGTCGCAAAACGTGCATATCAACCGAAAACAATTGTGTTCAGTGTACACATCATGGATGTCATTGAATTCGGTATATTCACGTAATTCTTTTAAAGTTTCCCATGTTGCGACTGCATACATGACAATAAGTGAATGAATGAATCTTCTGTGTTGAATTGGCTATTCATTTGTTTACTTTTTTATTCAACGACAAAAACCGAAATTATTTTGATATGTAAGACATGTGGCTCGATGATGAAATCTCACACACAAAGTACATCGGAAACAATTAAGTATCTGGTTAACAAGCGTTTGTAAGCGCACACAAGACAAAAGAGCTCACACACAGAAGACAAAAAAAGTACGTTGAAGAACAAGTTAACAAGTTATTGATGCTATCGTATTTATTTTATTAACGCTCATCGCACGTAAAGTTGCAGCAGAGTGCTGTGCGAGCTTGGTACGATGTGTTTGGGGCGAGAGAAAAAGAAAACCAAATAGACAAAAAAATTGAGAAAAGAAAATGACGAAAAAAAGAAACATTATTTAAATTTAAAGCAGAAACATACACCAAGAAAAATGTATGCAAACCTCGTGCCATATTCATATCGTTTACTGTGTGTTTAATTAAAAGGTCTTTTAATGGCCAATGAGTGGCTTTTTGCGGACGGAAAAACGATGCGAAACCGTCGCGAATCAATAAATTTGCACCGTCTTTCGCTTCTCACACAGAAAGTGCAAAATGTTTACCCATAAAAGTGCCATTGATAATTATAATGATTATGAAGTTAATTGAAATGCAGCGTTTGGGGTCACTGTGGTTGCTTTTTAAGAAAAAAAAACATAGAGCCTACATGCTGTAATAAATATACGGTAAAGTGTTGTCTTTAAGAATGTTGAATTCTCGCTGCACGCTCGCTTTTTATATTTCTTATTCGCTTAGTGCTTCATTAGCATCCAACAATAAAAAGACAATTTTGAATCTTAAGAGTGCTATGACATCTGAATGAAAACAATGGCAAAATATATGCAAAAATTGCGTGTGCGACATCGAAGTTTGTGTGAGAGGTTATTGTTCACGCATGGATAGTTGGATTAAAAAAAATGTGAGAAACATATTAAATTCAAGTTGAAGTGAATGGAAAGCAATGCAACAATGAAAACGAATAATGCAACGGTTTACGCCCGCCATTTAATTTGAAAGTTCCAGGCAAATTCTTAAAGTGTAGCTCGTTAAACATTTGCTATTATTTGTTTGTTTGTTTTTTTCTATTTCAGCAACAATTTGTTTGGGTTTATAACAAGACGGCCAAAAGGCAAAAAAAAATGAATTCGATTTCAGGTGGAAATGATCTATAGTGCGCACTCAGTTGGAACATAAATTGTATCCATTCACCAGAATAAATCACAACTTTTTCTCTCAAGCAAAACCATTTCATTATTTTCTCAAGTGTATTTGTCATTGAGTTTTTACTGCGAAAATTGAACATGTTTCAAATTCACCTAACTGAGCCCAGTCACATTGAATGACACATGAACGACAACAACGAGTCACAATCACAGGAAAAATATATATAATGAAATTATTGCGTTACGTTCATATTTATCTTTCTTTCGCATGAAACGAATGCATTTTTTTTTTATTCGGACAAACTGATCGAGATAAAGATCAAAACGGAAAAAATAAGCGATTCATAAATTCTGAAATCAAAACGGCACATCAAAAATAAAAAAACAAGAAAAAAGCGTCTTAGCAAAAAAAACGCCGGTGCATGTGAATCAGCCACCAACACCACCACCGCGTGCTCACACTGAGAAAACATGAAATCGAATCGCTCAATGTGTTGATCGGCAGCAAAAATAACAAACGATCGATTTGCAGAATGCATTGAAAAAAGCAGTGAGACAGTAACCAAAAACATTCGGAAAATTGAACAAATCTCGGTACAAAATCAACAAATCGTTAAAAGCAATTGCAGCACCAACAACAACAAACACTCCTCAAATACACCAAAAATTGATTTTAAGATTTAAATGAAATACGAAAGCCTTCCAATTCGTATGCCGTTCCTTTTCTATTTTTTTGTGTTCACATTCGCATCGGACGTCGCCGAGGTAAAGAGTGCGCAACAGCAAAAGAGGCACGCTATTCTACTCTTTTTATTTTTTCCGCTCCCTCTCAAAGAGAACCATAAATAAAAATCTAATGGAAATTAATGTACTCAAATCGACTCAAATTTAGGTGGTGTGTACGAATTATATTTATTCGATTATAATAATGTACAAAGATTTTTCAAAAACCGTCGTGCACACTGACAGAAAA